ATTTTAGATTTATATTTTTCTATTTCATCTTTATATTATTTTATATTTATATTATATTGCTTTTCTACAGACTTTTTTTTTAACAGATCGCGGAAATCGATTTCCGGAGGGTGAGGGCGCGTTCTGTATCATGGAGAGAATCATAACACCCTTGTTTCGAGAGACAAATAAATCTTACGTACTCGGTATTAAAAAGCGTTATTCATCGAGCTTTTTGCTTATCCACGAAACGAAGTAAACACGACCGTTCGTATTCATGAAACATGCGCGAAGCATCGTGTCCTCCATCGTTTAAAAGCTATATCGCGGCTATGCGATAGCAGAAATGTGATTAATTCGTCTAATTGGGTATCCAGAGTGCAGTTGGCCAACACGATCAATGGACGGGATGATGGGCTCGACATTAATTACAAACGTGTAAATATGCGCACGTGAAATAATATCTGCTCGACGGCGCGGAATAAAACCCACGATATTGTCCCACAGCCAAGCATGATATTAATGATAAAATATCAGTTCGTACGGTAATGGCGAATAACACGTTTGCTATTTAACGTTACGTTACAAAGTACAACAACGAAAATTAATATTAAAGTTGACGAAGTACACAGATTATTGCTTTCAAATCTATAAATATATATATATATATAAAAGAAGAAGAAATATATAGAAAAGAAATATAGAAAAGAATTATTTATACATCATACTTGCGATACGATTCTTACGTTATGTAATTATTTAAATAAATATCTGACACACTTGCGATGCATCTAAGTCCTTTCAAGCGTCTCTCTTACATCACCGTAAATCTATCGAGGTCGCGTGCCAAAAGGCAGGATCGAAGCTGCCAAGTTCCCTTTCATAACTTTTCTCATTCCGTTGCCATTCCGTTGCATGTCAGTGATTGTACGCTATACGAAGGTGTAATTTTTTACGCCTGTTCTGCATTGGCGTATAATATTACCTCAGTGGGATCAAATAATCCTGCTTTTATATTATCAAATAATAAAAAAGAGTAGTTCGTTGAATGACAGAGACGTGCGAGCGTATCGAATGAATTAAATAACTAGTATCGCGTCGGCATACGGCGTAAAAGCACCATGAACATGCGAAAATATAACTATAACACGTACGGTTGTTTACGATACTTTGACGAAACGTAATACCGACGGTGTGTAGTAGCGGCACGACGTGACTACAACACCCTTTTCCGACAAACCGTCATGCCTCGCCCGGCCGTTCGCGAAACATACGGATGAGGATCAATGTGTCCTTTACGACATTCGGAAAGGATCTCCCAATGTCTTGTAAAGTGAGTCGTAAGAGACCTTGCTGTTAACTGCTCTCCCGCTATATGCGAGAGCGGAATAATTTTCGAGGGGTCGTGACCTGCCCCAATCGACCGGCAGAGTCGATCAAAATTGCGTTCTCACGACCACGAGTGCGGAATCCTTGCCGAATCGGGAGAACGCCGATCCGAGAGAACTTGGGCTGATAATAAAGTTACGAGGTGAACGAAATCTGATTAAGGAGACGAATCGATTGAAATTACCTCGGAAATTTAATACCGATTTACTTACGCGCAATATATTGCAGCTACACATTTTACAATAAAATATAGATATATATATATACAAAGTTTGCGAATTATATAAAACGTAAAATTTGGATAGTTACTTCAATCTTCCAGATTCTTCTCAAAGACCACAGTTGTAGAAAGATAAAAACGAAATAAATCAGGTACTATCAGATATTCTTAAACAAAAGCTAAAGAGCGCTAAAAGAGATGGGTCAAACCGTATGTTTGCGCAAGATCGAGGACAGCTCCCAGAGGCTAGATGCCTCGGCGTTCATCGATCGACGGGGAATTCGATCATACCTCTTAACGACCACGTCGAGAAAGTCTTTGAAGCGGGACCAGACGCGAGCGGCCGTGGCGGCTGGGTCACTGTCACTAACCGCGAAAATTATACATTCGCGTACATACATTTTGTGACTTCAATTGGCAGG